GGCTCTGTATCGTGCTCTGCTTTGCTCGGTGGGGAGGAAGGTGCAGGCTCGCGTGGGCCCAATTTCTCTGTTCGCAGAAAGGACGGGGGCATCGGGGTGATCTGTGACTCGAGGGTCCCGAGTGCACTGCGTCAAAGTCCTCCCGAAGCGAAGTTGAGTGGCGTCGACGCTTTGGCGTGACGGGCATGGGCGCAGGTGAGACGGTGATCGGCAAGAAGGACATGGTGGTGGGCACTATCGACGTGAAGGACGCGTTCTTCCAGTATTTCGCGGATGAGGTGGCGAGCTGGTTCGGGCTCGGACATGAGGTGGCGGCGAAGGACTGGCGAGTTACGTGGGTCTGGGGCGACGACCTGAGGAGGTTCGACGCGGTGGGCCTGGCGGAGGAGCTGGAGGTGGTGTTCGAGGCGATGTGCATAGGCTGGACGTGGGCTCTCTACCTCTGCAGTGGAGGCATCGAGAGCTGTCTTTCGGGCGCGGGGCTCGCGGTGATGAAGGGGCGTGCGCCCATTTTGGTTACTTGGGGTATGAGGGGCATGGGCTGTGCTAGCGTGGAGAACGTCACCGTGGTGGCGGCAAACTCACGTGGTGCTGCTCGCGTTCGCGATTAGGCGGGGCGAGTCGCCGAAGAGGAGGGCCTCTCGCTGCGTCCACCTGGAGTTGGGAAGCTCGAGGAGTCGATGGGCTTGGTCCTCGACGTGGAGAAACTGGAGCTGAGGCGCGCGCCAGACAGGCTCCGGCGTTTCTGGGCGTCACACAGGCGTTGCGGCGTTGCGCTCGCGCGAGGGGCGGCGATCTGGAGGTTTGGCTCGGGCGCGCGATCGTCGCGATGAGGCTGGGGCGACCGCTGATGGCCATCCTGCAGGAGGTCTACCACCGACAGGGAGTTCGTCGAGAGCGTCTCGTCTGCATCGACTACGTCCTGCGCCGCGAGATGTGGGCTGTCCAGAGCCTGCTCTTTTTGCGTAAGTCTGCCTGGCGATGCTGGTCTTGAAAGTGCGCGTCTCCGACAGCTCGACGGAAGGGCGCGGGCTGCTGCGCCGCCGAGCCGACGCGGAGCTCATCCAGGAGGAGCTGTGGCACCGCGAGAGATGGCGGTTCATGGAGACGGAGCCCGAGGCGGAGCGCCTGTTCGTCACTGCAGGCTTCGCGCGGGAGCAGACGCGGGGGCACGTGGGCGACTCCGACCCCGCCGACCCCGTCGAGCAGGTGTTCGCTGACGCGGAGGTGCAGGGCCAGGCAGCTGGGCCTCGCGCAGGCGCGGGCACCGCCTACGCCCGACGTGGGCGCCAGGCGGCATGCGCTGGCAAGGCGCCGCGGCACTCGCGGCTTCGGCGTCGAGCGGGTGTTGAAGTGGAGGTGCTTGCTGCTACCCCGCCAGTCTCCAAAGTCTGGGCGGGCCGCTCGACCTGGCCCCTGGCGACCTGCGGCCGATGGGCGTGGCCCGAGGAGCACATCAATGTGAAGGGGGCGCGCGTCGCTCTGGATGGTGTGCGACGGTGCGCCCGCAGCAGTCGACCTCGCGGGCGTCGAGGGCTACATCTGGTGGATAACATGATGACCTGCTGTTGCTTTGACAAAGAACGAGGGCGCTCGTGGGCCATGAACGTCGCGCGCAGGCGACTGTGCCTACCAGCTGGCGGCCGACCTGCGGCCAAGGTGGAGGCGCGTGGACAGCGAGTGCGGCGCTGCTGATGGGGGTCCGCGGGGTAAGCCAGCGCCGACAGCACCCCCTGAGAGGTCTCCGTCGCTGATCGAGACGGTCGAGGGCCCCGCCTCCGCCATCAAGCTGCCACGGGAGCGCTTGAGCCTGGGCGCGGCAGTGGGTTGCGCCAACCGGCCCCCGTCTTGTGCAACCCCGGCCTGGGCTCACCGTCCAGATTCGGTGATCCTTGAGCTGTTCGCTGGAGTTGCAGGTTTCACTTCGGCTTGCCAGCGCCGCTGTCTTCGCACAGGCCCACATTTCGAGTGGCAGCGTGGCTTGGATTCGACCTGAGTGGCAAAACTGTGCAGAGATCCGTCCTGAGTAAGATCAGAGAATGGAAAGATAGTTCGGTGTGTCCACCTGGGGGCCCCGGCAGAGTCTGGTCAGTGGCCCGCGGGGGGATCAAAAACTGGGCGAGGGCCGAGGCTCGGGAGCACTCAGGAGTTGGTTTCGCTTTATTCAGTGTAGACGTGGTTCGTGAATGCGCACGGTGTGGGGCGACGTTTACCTTGGGGGTCCTCGACCGAGCAGGCTGGCAGTTTCCTCCGATAGCAGGTCTCCTGGGACTCTCGAAGGTCCACAAAACCATAAATCTCTAATCCTTATTATTAAACCCTAAAGACCTCCTCCCCACGCGTTCATTGCATCCGAACTCCTTGAATCGAGCCTCACATCGGGATCTTTACGGCCCGCTATGTAAACCACCCACAATCCTATGCAAAAAACAATATATACTGATCATGCGTGCTCCCAGGCGCACCCCTGGATCGAGCCTGCTATGCGGACCTTTACGACCCGCGATGTAAACCACCCACAATCCTATGCAAAAAATCAGATTTCCTGATCATGCGTGCTTCCAGGCGCGCCCCTGGATCGAGCCTGCTATGGAGATCTTTACGACCCGCTGTGTAAACCACCCACAATCCCACACAACATAATATTATTTCCTGACCATGCGTCCTCCCAGGCGCACTCCTAGATCGAGCCTGATATGTGGATCTTTACGACCCGCTATGTAAACCACTCGCCCGTCAGGGTCCCGCCCGTTAGGGCCCCGCCCGCCCGTTAGGGTCCCGCCCGCCCGACCCGCCCGTTAGGGTCTCGCCTGTTGGGGTCCCGCCCGTTAGGGTCCCGCCCGTTAGGGTCTCGCCCGACCCGCCCGTTAGGGTCCCGCCCGTTAGGGTCCCGCCCCCGTCAGGGTTCGCTCCCATGCGCGTCAGGCGTTCCCAGGCGCGCTCCGAGACGCCCCCGGGTGCTCCCAAGCGCCTCAGGCGCGCCCACGCGCTCCCAGACGCTTCCAGGCGCCCCCCAGGCGCCCCCCAGCGCTTGCTCCCAGGCGCACTCCTGGATCGAGCCACGCTTGCTATGGTATGCTATGCTATGCTACAGCCACGGTATAACATGAGAGGAGAGATGATCTTTATGTGGGGGTGGAGATGCGGGGGGGATTGATAGCCACCGCAGGTGAGTGCCTATGCAGGTAGGTATTCCTGGCCTTGCCCTGTTAGACCCTGAACCCTAAACCTTAAATTTCTAATCCATATAACTAAACCCTAAAGCCTTCTAAACCGGCCGCTATGCAGGTCGCCCTCCGTCTTACGCAAAAAATAATATTTCCTGATCATGCGATCAGAAAGCTATCTTTTTAACAATACAAAGTGCTCGGCCGTGGTTGCAACCCGGGCTTTTCCATTGCAAAAAATATTATATCCTGATCATGCGATCAGAAAACCTTTTTTTTACAATAGCCCGGCCCGGGTTGCAACCCCGTATGTAAACCGGAATTTTGTCTGGTAAAAAATTGTATAACCTGAACATTCTGCCTTTCAACATGCTCCACCTTATGCAAAACATATTATATCCTGATCATACTTTGTTTCTGATGTGCATTTTCCATTGTAAAACCAATCTACACTCAACATTTTGCTTCTGCAAAATGTGTCCGTGTCAATAATTCATTGAAAAAAAGCGACAGAGTGCACATGCGCGCGGCAGCCGCGCGATCATGGCGAAATCCTTGGAACACAATGTTTAGCTATGCTATGCTATGCTCTGCTACAGCCACGGTCGAACATGAGAGGAGAGATGATCTTTATGTGGGGGTGGAGATGCGGGGGGGATTGATAGCCACCGCAGTTGAGTGCCTATGCAGGTAGGTATTCCTGGCCTTGCCCTGTTAGACCCTAAACCCTAAACACTAAACCTTAAACCCCGGTCGCAGCAGGGCGCGCATGTCCGCCCCCGCGAGAGGGCCTGGAGTCTTGCCAAGCCGCAGTGTGCTGTGCCAGCCAAGCAGCTGCCGAGGTTGGCGACGGTGACCAAGCCGACCCTAGAGGCGTACAGGATGAAGCTCACGCAGCTCCGGCAGTGGGCGGTGGGCAAGGAGTGCCTGTTGGACGCGAAGACCGTGGACTGGCCGATGTGCGGGGGCTTCGCCGAGAAGTACCTGGCGTGATGGGGCCCAGCTCTGGGGCGCCACTTGAGAAGCGCCTGGACTATTTGAAGACACAGAGCTACGCGGTGGTGGTGCTGTACGACGGCTTAAACAAGGGGGTAATGCGGTAAGACGGGTACCGGACGCCTTCGGAGGCGTCCAACCTGATCAGAATCAGCATCGTGCCGCCGCAGCCATGGGCGACCCAGAGCAGGAGATGACCCCGAACACCTGCCCCGAGGACGTGGGGATCGGGATCAGCGAAGCGGGCCGCCTCCTGCTGCGGGACATCCTGAGGCGACTGTACGATCGAGGTCTCCTCCCGCGTGGTCGTCAATTTCGCGTCTCCTTGCCACAATGCGACAAGGTTTTTAAGCTGGGCTTCCAGGGGCTCGGTCTCCACGGGTTCAAAGGGTGCCTGCGTGCGGCCCGCCCTAGCGAACCTGCAACAGTTGTCTAAGATGAGTGGGGCCCAGATAGTGCTGTCACCCGGTCGGGGGCGCAGATGTCCATGCTGCTACGTTTCTCGTGGACACCTTGAGAGTGTATGCGGCTTCGCCAGGGTCACACTGATGGTGAGAAAATCTGGTGGTTTTCGAGCCGTTGCTTCAACGAGCGTCACAGCGAGTTGTAAAACTGATGCGTCACCCGCCTGGCGATGCCGTCGAACGCTTCGTGAGCAGGAGCGTGTGAAAGAGGCATGGGTTCGAGCAGATAGCATTCGAGGTCTGGTGCTGGATAGGAGGGGGGAGTGATGTTTCTAGCTTGCTGTGGAATCGCTCATAAGTGACGTTGAGGCACCGCCGTCTGCAGTTTGGGCTCCCGCACACCCACCCTTGCTGGCGCGCGCTCCTCTTTTTTGACATGTCTTAGTTTCCTTGCCTTCCAACTATTCTGTGTTCACAGTGCTACAGCTCAGACTGTGCTATTCGAGCCGTTGCTTCGATGTACGCCACAGCGAGTTGTAACGCTGCTGCGTCACCCGCCTCGCGGTGCCGTCGGACGCTTCTGGAGCAGGAGCGTGTGAAAGAGGCAGGGGTTCCAACAAATAACAATCGAAGCCTGGTGCTGGATAGGAGGGAGGAGTGATAACACTATCAAACAGAAGAAGAGGAGGAGGAAGAGGAGGAGGAGGAGGAGGGGGAGAAGGAGGAGGAGGAGGAGGAGGAGGAGGAGGAGTGATCGCAAGGAGTGAGGAGTGAAGGGGAGGAGGAGGAGGGGAAGGAGGAGGGAGGAGGAGGAGAAGGAGGAGGAGGAGCAGGAGAGGAGGAGGAGGAGGAGGAGGAGGAGGAGGAGGAGGAGGAGGAATGAGGAGGAGGAAGGGGAGGAGGAGGAGGAGGAGGAGGAAGGGGAGGAGGAGGAGGAGGAGGGAGGAGGAGGAGGAGGACGAGTAAGGGGGAATGGCGAGTTCTAAGGAGGAGTGATGAGGAGTGAGGATGAGGAGAAGAAGGAGTTAGGAGTAGAAGAGGATGAGGAGGAGGTCGAGGAAAAGGAGGAGCGAAGAGGAGCTGGAAAAGTGACAAGGAGGTGGAGGAGGAGGAAGAGGTGAAAGAGGAGGAGGAGGAGGAGGAGGAGGAGGAGGAGGAGGAGAGGGAGGAGGTCGGTTGGACGCTGGCTGTGACGCCGGGTCGTGCTCTGTACGAGGAGGAAGAGAAGGAGGAGGAGGAGGAGGAGGAGGAGGAGGAGGAGGTGGATGAGGAGGAGGAGGAGGAAGAGGAGGAGGAAAAGTGAAGAGGAGGTGGAGGAGGAGGAGCAGGAGGCGGAGGAGGAATTAGAGGAGTTGTAGGAGGAGGAGGAGGAGGAGGAGGAGGAGGAGGAGGAGGAGGAGAGGAGGAGGAGGAGGAGGAGGAGGAGTGAGGAGGCAGAGGAGGAGGAGGGGGAGGAGGAGGAGGACCTGTGTAAACACAAGGCTCTTCCACGAGTTTCGAGTACACCCTTATTCGAAGCTCTTTCTTCATAGGCCCCTACAGGGGTTCATTTTCATTGAGGGGAATTTCCCGTTTGGAGAACCGTTTTAAAATCCGGAAGAGTGCCCAAACACAAATTTTGGAACTTCGACGCCACGAACCAACCACACTATAGCATCCCATTAAACCGGAATCGCTCCACCACGCCAGTGCTGGGACCTCGACGCCCCGAATCAATTTAACTGTCGGCCCTGACGGTCCTGAATCGCTCCATCGCATCAGTTCTGGAGCGTTAGCGCTGAGTTCGTGGAACTCTTTCGCGAACGTGTAAAACGAATGTGCTCGGCGCTACAGCGAGAGTCAAACTTTGAAAAGGACCGTCCTCAGCCTGCGAAACTCTTGCATTTGTGTTAACGGATGCACGCGGCGCTAAGGCGATAACTACGATTGCAAACCGACCCGCCCTCAATATATGGAGCTATTGGCTATTGAAATGTTTGCGACGGGTGTGCGTCGCCTTTAGTCGACGGCCACATATTTCAAGCCTGCGACCCTGAATCAGTGAAGCTTTTGCAAATGTTTAAAATGAATGTGCGTGGCGCTAATGCGACAGTCACAGTTTGAAAACGCCCCGCCTTGAATCCGTGAGGCCCTTGCAATGTTTATGCCGAGTGTGTGCGGCGCTGAGGCGAGAGCCACATGTTGAAAACCACCCACCCTGCATTTGCGAAGCTGTTGCCAACTGGTAAGCTTCATGACCATGCATTCAGGCGGAACGCCCGGCTCGCCCGTTCGACCAGCCCCGGGGTGAGGCAGAGAGGTGGTATCCATAAATGATGGATTGGAGGAGGATGGGGAGGATTTTGGCCGCAGCGCCGCATGCAACCCGCACGTCACCTCAGGGGGGGACGAGACCAAAAACACAAACCGACGTCTGTCAGGCAAGCTCGCAGGATAAACCCGCGCACACAGGCTGGTCTGAGAAGAAACAACAGGTGAAGCCTTGCCTGGCGCCACCAACGCAGGTATGGGGCCGTTTTAGACTAGAAAGACCCCGTTCTAGACTAGGACGGTTCCGTTCAAACCAAGAACGGGCCCGTTCTAGGCTGTAACGGGCAGGTGTTGTCTCGGGGCGACCCCAGTACAGGACCCGATCCACGACTCCACCATACACCCAGAAAAACAAGGGGCAGTCCCCTAAATGTCTGAGCAGTGCCGCTGCCACCGCAGCGAGGGAAGCAGCGTGCTGGCGCAAGCCAGCAACGCCCAAGAAGAGACAAGAGGCGAAGCCCAGCCAGATACCGCAAGGTAGGGCGTGGCGGGCACTGACTCCGAGCAGCCCCAGAACAGGACCCGACCCCCGACCCCACCACCTGACCAGCCAACTCTGGAGCAGGCTCCTAAATTCCCAATCCGTGTCGCTGTCTCCGCGGTGAGGAATGGCGCTTGCTGGCCCTGGCCAGCGACGCCCGAGATCCTCAGGCAGGCTCGACGTATCCGCTGCGCCCTGGCAGCCCCGAATCGCCCCAACATGCCGTTTCTGGACCATGAGATCCCGTGAAATTCTTCCAAACGTGTAGAATAGATGTGCTCGTGCTAAGACGAGAGCCGCATTTGGCAACGAAGCCGCCCTCAATCCGTGAACCGTTTGCACATTTTGACCAGGAGCGGCGCTGCGTTGAGGTGAGAGCCGCATCTTTACATCTATACATCTATATATACACACAACAAGAAACGAACCGCCCTCAATGCATGTGCGCGGCGCTTGGGCGAGACTCACATTTTGAACACGGACCGCCCTCAATCCGTGAACTTCTTGTTTTTTTCTAACCCCTCTTTTGCTTGGTTTCTCGTCTTGAGCAGAGCAGTGGGGTGTCAATTCCCTTCTTCTCCCTCGCGCCCCCCTCCCCGCTCTCCTCTCTCGGCTCTCTCCTCATCAGCCGCATCAGAATGACGGCTCTGGGTGATCTCCAAGGCTCCCGCCACCCTCGGACGGGGGTCCCAATCGGTGGGCAAGGGCCGCCTGGGTCCAGGGGATAGCCAGATAGTGTAATACGTGGCTCTCTTGGGGGCGGGGCCTAGCCGCGCCTGTCAAGGAGCCATTGGATGGTCCGATCCTCTCGGCTCTCTCCTCTCGCATCCCTCCTGGGAGCCGCGGAGTGCGACATTGCCGCCACTCTCGAGGCCTGCCGGGGGAGCCCGCACAGAGGGGCCCCACGCAGGCCCCAGCAGAGACCTCGCCGTCCTTGGGGGGGGGGCTGTGACGTGCGACACTGCCGCCGCCTTCGAGGCCTGCGACAGTGCCGCCGCCACACGGAGCCCGCGCAGTGGGGCCACACGCAGACCCAACCGGGACTTTGCCATCCCTTACCAGCCTCGAACGTATCTCTATCCCTGAGATTGACACGCCAAAAGGCGATGCCAATCTTAGGGTTTCGCCTTCAAAAACTCCGGGAATTCCTAAGATTGGCATCGTGATGAGGAGATGCCCAGCATAGGGAAAGGGACATGTTCCAGGCTGGTAAGGATAGTGGGGTGTGAATTTGTCGCCACTTTTGAGGGCTCCTGGGGGGGGGGGCCGCAGAGTGGGCCCCCCCACGCAGATCCCAACGGGGCCTCGCCATCCCGCGGGCTTTGCGCATTGCGAAACCGTCGCCGCTCTGGAGGGCTGCTGAGGGAGCCCGCACAGCGGGGCCCCACGCGGACCCCCCCCACAAGACCTCGCCATCTGGGGGGGGGCTGCGAAGTGTGAGACTGCCGCCGCCTTCGAGGGCTGCTCGGGGGGAGCCCGCACACGGGGGCCCTACGCAGATGCCAACGGGCCCTCGCCATCCGGGGGGGGGGGGGGGGGCTGCGAATTGTGAAGTTGTCGCAATGCTCGAGGGCTGCGGGGGGGGGGGGGGGGCAGCGCAGTGGGGTCCCACGCAAATCCCAAAAAGACCTCTCGCAATCCTTGGCGTGGCTGCGTCGCCACGTTCGAGAGCTGCGGGGGGGGGGCCAGCACAGTTGGGTCCCACGCAGATCCAAACAGAGCCTCGCCATCATGAGGGGGTGCGATGTGAAGCTGTCGGCACCTTTGAGGGCTTCGGGGGTGGGCCAGGGTGTGAAACTGTCGCCACTCTCGAACAGACCAAGCACACGTCGCAAGATATAGATATCCGCCTTACACCGTGTCTTGCAGTGTTGCTGTAGCATCATTTTCGGCATATATTATGTCATCCCTTGGATCCGATGGGTTTGGTACGTCGCAGTGTAATTCAAAACGAATGTTCGCGGCGCTAAGGCGACAGCACATTATGGTAATGAACCTCCCTCAATCCGTGAAGCTCTTGCACATGTTCAAATCGAATGTGCGCGGCGCTGCCACATGTTTGAAGCCACCCGCCTTGGATCCGTGAAACCCTTGCGTATTTGTTAGACGAATGTTCGCGGCGAGCGCCACATTTCGAGAACCAGTCGACCTCCATGTGTGGAACTGTTGTCAATTGTGAAGCTTCTGGATCAAACATGCAAGGAAGTCTCAGGCGAAACGCCCGGCCCGCTCTTTCCACCAGCCTCGGGGTGCGACAGGGAGGAGTTCTCTACTAGGGAAAGAAGGGAGGAGGAGGAGGAGGAGGAGGAGGAGGAGGAGGAGGAGGAGGAGGAGGAGGAGAAAGAGGAGAGAGGAGGATGGTCTCATGAGGAACATTCTGAGGAGGAGTGCGAGGATGAGGAGACGGATGATGCAGGAGGGTGGAACACCATGAGTGCGTAACGAGGCCCCAGGATGATTGGAGCAAGAGGCTCTTTAGAATCGGAAGGCCGCCGGTGTCTCGGGGAAGCCGAGGGCCGCTCTCCTCTTTGGCACCGCTCGTGTTGCACATGCTTCCCCGCTCGGGTCGGAAAGGGGGAAGGGTCAGGAGGGGAAACAAGACGCAGACACACACGAGCGTCGATTCCCGGGGAGATCTGGGAAACTAGGGGACGAGGAGGGGATGGCGAAGGGCAAGAGAGTACGCGAGGGAATTGGGATTCCTGGGTGTGTGTGTGTGTGTGTGTGTGTCTGCTGTTGTGTGTGTGTGTGTGTGTGTGTCTTGGCCCCTTCCGAGGGGGAGGGGCGGAGCGGCGGCGGCCCGTGGCCGCCCCCCCCCCCCCTCGCCTCTCCGCCCCTCTCCGTCCCTCCCTCCGCCACGCAGGAGCTCACGTCGCCCTCCCGCGTGTTCCCTCAGAGTCCAGTCCGCATGCCCCCCTCATGCTTCTCTCGCTCCCGCCGTCGTCGTCGTCGTCGTCGTCGTCGTCCTTCCCTCGGCCCTCGTTCCGAGCTCCTTGCCGGTCGTCCCTCGCTCCTCCTCGTCGTCAGCGTCGCCGCCGCCGTGCCCCCCGCCGCCGCCGCGGCAGCCCGCAGGAGGCGGACGTCCAGTCCTGATGCGGAGCCCCGCGGGGCGAGGCCGCCTCCTGCGAGTGCGCGGGCGAGGGCGAGGCGGGGCGCGTGGGGGGAGGGCAGGCGTCGGCCTCACGCAAGAGCGACCTCTCGCCGGAGGGTCCTCTGGTGTGCGCACGCCGGGGTCTCCGCTCGGCTGGACGCGGTGCGAGGGCAGTGTCCTGCACGCTCGGGTCATGGCCCCCGCCGCGGCCGCCGGAGCTCGCGCACCGGCCGTCGCCCTTGCCCGGGGCCGCCTCTTGCGCGTGGCTGGAAGAGGCTGGTGCGGGAGGAGGGAGGAGCGGAACGACAGGTGCAGCGAAAGCCCACGCCAAGAGGCGCCCTGTTCGCCTCCAGGGTGCCCTGGGCTTCGGTGGCCCTCTGCGATGGCAGGCGCGACGTCTTCCCGCACCAGGGAGCAGTGGACGTCCTGGCGTCTCGGGTTCGGGCTTCTTTCGTGGAAGGCTTCTTTTGGCCTGGCCTCCACTGCATCTCCGAAGGGAACGCTGCACGTGCGCACCAGTTCGGATCTCGGCGCACATCTCTTGCACGGGGGCAGACGCCCTAGGTGGGGCCCCGGGGGCACTCGGCCAGCACCGCGGCCGCCGCCCGTCGCCGCCGCTTCCCGCCGCGGGACGCACAGTCAGCGCACCGCTCGAAGCGCCTCGTCCGCGCGGACGTGGCCACCCGGGGGGAAAGGGCTCGTTTCGATTCCTCCGATTCGATCCGACTCGATCTCGATTCGGGACGACCGACATGGGCACGGAAAGAAAGGGTACAAAGACCGACATCAGTTCTTTCTCATTTTGCACAGGATTCGCTGTCGGCGTCGCCGCGGGTCATGTCCAGTTGAGACAGAAGGCCGCTTGCCAAACAGCGGCCACTGTTGGTTCGGGACAACACTTGCTTTTTGGCATTGGGCCCATTGTTTCCGTGCCCATTTCGGGCGTCCAAATCGATGGCTTCCGACTCCGATTCGTTTCGGCATCGGGTTCCGACGTGGGCTCCGATTTCTTCATGGAGACTTGCGAGCCTGCCGATGTCCGCCGATTCGGCTTGTCCCGATCCCGTTGCCGATTTCCGCCGATCCGATTCATTTCGATCGCCGATCCGACTTGTCGACTCGAATCTGGGCTCTCCTGCAGGGGAAGGGGCGGGGGGGAGGAGGGCCCAGTTGTGATGGCGCTCCTGCGGCTCCTGCTCCCTGGCCTGCACGCCCCTCCCCTGCGCCCTCCTTTGTTTGCCTCTTCGCGGGGGGTGGGTAGGGTGGGCCTGGGGGGGGCGGCGGAGGCGAATGGTGAAACCAGGGGCAGTGGTGCTGTTTACGTTCTTTGGGGCGCTCGCGGGGTATCCCGCGCGCCGCGCTTTGTTTACCGCAGGATCCCGCGGATCGGCAGATCCGCAGATCGGCTCCACGGAGAATCCTGCGCACCTGCGTCCGCAGGTTTAGGTGGTGCCAGAGTTCTGCTCCGATTTGCTTTGCCCCTGCGGATCTCTTTGTTCTGCTTGTGGCAGCTTCCAATATACCTGTAGGGGACCTGGCTGTTCTGCCTGGCCTTTGTGAGCCACTGGCCGGCCATCAGCGCCGCGACAAAGTATCCGCTTATGGGCGGGCGCGGCGCTCGGTGTGAGAGGCTCTGCGGCTCGTAGGTCGGTGACCCATGGACCCTGGTGGCGCCACGCCGACTGACTCCTTGCGGCCTGCGCCATTCCGCGTGCCCCCAGTGAAGCCTGCAGGCTTGCGCCATTCTTTCCTGTCCCGGGTTGCTCGAGCGCCCGAGGGAAGGCGCATCCGAGGAGGAAGGCAGACATGACAGAAGAGGAGGGAGAGGAGGAGAATGAGGGTGGGGGACGAGGAGTCGGATGAGCATCAGGATGAGGGGGCAGAGGAGGACGATTCGTGCTCCGTCCTCATCTCTGCCCTCCCATCACTCCAGCGCCCCCGCCTCCTCTCGGGTGGAGGGCCGGCCAGCGGAGAGACGTGGAGGGAGCAGCTGGTATGGGAGGGCGCCCGCGGCAGGGACGGTCCAGGGTTGCGGGATCACCCGTCCCCATCTTCACCCAGGCGTTGTCTTGGCATCGCTCGGACGTGTGCGTTTTTTCCTCGGCGGGGATCATCGAGGAGCAGCCTTGATCATTTGGCGAAAAAACCACGCACGAAACCGAAAACAAACACAGGAAATGGACGTCCGAGCGATGGCCAGATCTTCACCCAGGCGTTGTGCGTGTCCAACCGTTTCACGGGCCCAGCAAGTCGGAGCTCGGCGGCGCCCGCGCGCCGAGAGCCACGAGCATCCGAGCAGTCGGGAGGAGGGGGAGGAGCACCAGGAGGTCCACAGCAGAGTGCGAGAGGAGGGCATGAGCTTCGAGTGGCCCACCCCGCCTTTGCGTGTGTGGCATTGTCCTCCATAGACCTGGAGACGAGAGCACCCAATTTCGAATCAGGGCGCTCTCCCGAGCCACGCGAGCTGTCGCCTGGGCGATGGTCTCGACGCCCGTGTGCCCGAAGTTTGAGGCCCTCTGGGGCACTCTTTGGGACCGCCCATGGCCCTCGGGATCCCTTGGGATTTCTGTTGGGCCCTGGCGACCCTGGGGATTACTTGGGACCTCTGTTGGGCCCTGGGGTCTTCTTGTGGCCTCCCTGGTGCCCTCTTGGACTGGCTGCCTGCTGGCCTCTTGCAGGCCCGTCGCGGCCTCCTCGGGACTCCTGGGGCAGGCGTCGGGGATCTTGATTTCTGTTTCACTATACTGCGAAGGCCTTACGGCCGGTGCCGCCGACCCTGAGGTTTGGGAGAAGGGCGCGGAGCATGGGGAGGAAGATGAGGAGGGGGACAGGAGAAAGATGTGGGTGAGAAGGAGTAGGAGCACATGGGGGGGAATGAAGAGGAGGAGAGTGAGGCGAGCAGGGTTGCATGTTTCTCTATCTTTTGGAGTTTTCTTTCAGACGCTGCCAATCGGAGGACATGTTCGACCTACTTTTGGACCCCCGCGGCGGATGTCGCCGCCCCGCCCTCTGCCACTGACCGCTCCGCCGGCACACACCGCCTCGCCGTCGGAGGCTCCCGGCGGTCGCGTCGCACCCCCCGCCTGGGCGCGCGCGGGGCGGGCTGGGCGCGGACACCTCGACGCGGGGGATCTGGCGTTATGTCGGGCGTGTCCCCCTAGAGGGGGAGTTTCGAAGAAAAAATCAAAATACTCAGGAATATCCCCCAAAAGGTCAACAAGTATTCAAAACATAATCCCCAGACTATTGTTGGATTTATATATATATATATACATAGAAATTATTTCGGGGGAATTTTTCATTTTTCGTCGAAAATCCCCCTGTAGGGGGACAGGCCCGACTTAGATCTGGCGAGCGGGACAGGATATCGAGGCCTCCTAGATTTCAGTCGGGCATGTCCCTCTACAGGAGGAATCTTCAAAACAAGTCCCACAAGTACTCTGGGGACGATGTTTCGACTATGTTCGACCATTGTTTGAGCATTGTTGGGCAATTTTTGATCTTTTGTCCAAGATCCGCCTGTAGGGGGACATGCCCGACCTAACACCAATCTCGGGCAATCGCAAGCGTGGATCAAGGGGGCGTGGATGAGCGACGGGTCCCGTTTCCATGGGGAACCGCGGAGTTCCGCCGCCGTGCGAGGCGGCATTGGCCGCGTTCTGGGGAGGGCACCTCCCCCGATTCATGGACTTGGCGACCGCGCGCCAAATCCACGGATCGCTGATCCATGTTTTCGCGCCCCCCGATAGATGGGGTCGCAGTAGATGGGGTCGGAGGATCGCACCGCGTCGCCGATGCATCGGCGTTGCATCAGCGATGCGGCTCGGTGTGGGGCCCAGTCTTCTCCACGCTGACGTCGCCTTTGCATCGCCGACGTCGCCAGTGCATGGCCGACGCACCGCCGGCCGATGAGTTCGCGACGCAGCTCGGGGCCTAAGAGACGGGGGTCAATGCAAACGGGGGCCAGCCAGAGCGCCCGATCTTGCAGGATCCTGCAGGGCCAGGGCCGCACTGACCCGGGTTTGGGTGCAGGATCCTGCAGGATCCTTCGCACTGACCCGGGCTTGGGTGCCGGATCTTGCAGGATTTTGTTGCAGGATCATGCAAGGCTTGACTGACCCTGTTCTGGATTGATGGGCCTCTTTTCCACCACCACCACCAGAAGTTGGAGGGGGAGGGGGTCCTCGTCCTCCACTCCACCTTCCTGCTCCCTGTTCCGAGGCGGCCACGGTCTGTCCCGCGGGCAGCCCAGCAAGAAATGGTGGATGGGGGAGACGCGAGGCCAGGAGCGGTGGGATGGGGGCGGCGCGGCCGCGCGTGCGCCCGAGCCCTCAGAGGAGGGCCGCCCGCCGGCACCTTCTCCTCTTCCAGCACCTCGTCGCCGTCGCGCCTCGGCCTCCCACTGCCTGGCGTCACGGAGCCACTGCTGGCGCCGAGGGAGGCGCTGGCCGCGGCGCCTGTGGCAGTCGGCGCCCATGGTGACCTCGTTCTGGAGGTCTGCCGCCTGGTAGAAGGGCGCCAGGTCCGCCTCCAGCGGCCACCACTCCGCTGCGACTGGGCGCCCTACCCACTGCCTGGCGGCTGCAGCCGCGAAGGCCGAGGCGACTGCCTGACACATGCGGCTGGGGTTCTCCTTGAGCGGTGCCGTACGCCATCTGTCCTGGTCGTCGAGGCCGAGCTGCGCCACGTGGTAGTTGTCCGTGTGGCAGCACCAGCCAGCGTTGGGCAGACGTCTGATCTCCCTGCGGAGTTCGGCCAGGCAGATGGCCCCGAGCCTCGTAGGCTTCTTGGAGCACGCTCCAGCCTGGCACTGCTCGAAGTCAACGTACTCCACCCAGGGCTGAGAGAAGAGGTGCTTGAGCTCTGGAATCCGCCAGATGACGCGCGCTCTGGGTCCACAGGCTCCGCGGGGTGCTCGACCATGCCAGGCAAGTCGCAGGCCCCGCAGAGGTACAAGAAGAGCTCCTGCACCCTCATGAGGAGGTCCCCGACGCTGACCTGCTCCCTCCCGTCGTCCTTCAAATGTTGAAGCCCCCAAAGGCGACGAGCTGATCGCAGCGGGCGCGGTGGGCGGCGCGCTGTGTGCACCGCATGATGGCGCGCCTGAAACCAGGTCTCGCATGGGGGACCTCCCAGGAGCCCAGCGACCCTGCCAGCCGCAAAGAGGTCCTTTTGGAAATCCACGCTCTCGGATCGGGCCAGGTCACCTGGGGTACGATCGTTTGCCACATCTACTGAGAGCATGATAATGTCATGGCCGTACGCAGCTCGGATCGCATCGAACCAGTCTTGGATGTCTCCTTCCCTCCTCCTCCCGCTGAACAGGTGCAGCACGTGCATGACAGCGGTACCGACGGGGCGTTCGATCGTGCGGATAGTGGCTTGCTCAGTCTCCAGCATGGGGGGAACCGCAGCGACCAGGTCCTCGGTGTGGCGCTCTGGAGATCGAAGTTGCGGCGCGAAGAAGGGCCTACAGGGTATCGAGGCCCAGTCGCTGACTCTCCCCGCCCTGCGGTTAGCAGCTCGGGCTGCCCTGCTGGCCTTGACGTTCTCGCGGAACAGTGCGTCGGAGGCCTCCCGCCGCTGCGCGGCTGAGGTGCCTGCACAGACGATTGACCGTGTGGTAGTCTTTGCTGCATATCTGGCAAGCAGTGCCCTGCGCCCAGCCGCCACGGGTCGTCCTGACTCGGGTGCACCTGCGCGCCCTCCACCCCTTCCTCCTCCTCCTCCTCCTCGTCCTCCTCCTCCTCCTCCTCGTCCTCCTCCTCCTCCTCCTCCTCCTCTCCTCTTCGTCCTCCTCCTCTTCGTCCTCCTCCTCCTCGTCCTCCTCCTCCTCGTCCTCCACCTCCTTCCCCCCTCCAACTCCTGGTGGTGGTGGGAAACAGGCCCACCATGGATCGACCCGGGTCCGCGGAGGGCCCGGAGGAGGAGGAGGAGGAGGAGGGGAGGAGGAGGAGAAGGAGGAGGAGGAGGAGGAAGAGGAGGAGGAGGAGGAGGAGGAGGAGCAGCAGGAGGAGGGGGAGGAGGAGGAGGAGGAGGAGGAGGAGGAGGAGGAGGAGGAGGAGGAGGAGAAGGAGGAGGAGGAGGAGGAGGAGGAGCAGCGCCGGTGCTTCGGCGATGCGGCGGAGGCCCTCCGACCCCCCAGCTGCTCGGGCCCTGCTGCGGCGGAGGCCCCCTGGGAGAGCCGTCGGGCCGCGTGCGCGCGCGGCGTGCAGATGGGGGGGCGGGCCCCCGAGGGGCGGGCCCCGGCGGGGCGGGGCGGGGCGGGGCGGGGGGGGGCGGGCGGAGGAGGAGGGGAGGAGGCGGAGGAGGAGGGGGAGGAGGAGGGAGGAGGAGGAGGAGGAGGAGGAGAGGGGAGGAGGGAGGGAGGAGGGGGAGGAGGAGGAGAGGGGAGGGGAGGAGGAGGAGGAGGAGGGAGGAGGAGGAGGAGGAGGAGGAGGAGGAGGAGGAGGAGGAGGAGGAGGGGGAGCAGGAGAGGAGGAGGAGGAAGAGGAGGAGGGGGAGGAGGAGGCGGACCCCAACGGGCTGCGGCGGGCGGGGTGGGGCGGAGGGGTCCCGGCGCGACAAGCGGTCCGGGGGGGGAGCGGAGGGGGCGCGAAGCATGCGGGGGCGAGGCGGTGCGAGGGCGAAGTTGTCCGGGGCGACCTGGTCTGGGGCGGAGCGGTGAGGGCGAAGCGGTCGGGCCCCCCTCCCGCTGCCTCAAGCGGGCGTTCGGGTTTGCAGGGGGAGGGGGGAGCCAAGCATCTCGTCCGCCCTGTCATCACCCCGGCATGCGGGGGTCGGCGGTGGAGAGGAGTCCTCTCCCTCCCTCTTCTCCCCCCTCGGCCTTCTCCCCTCTCCCGCCTGGCCAGAAGCAACGGCTGGCCCTCACAGGGCCAGATGGCACGGACTTGTGCAGCAGAAGCGTGTGCATCAGCAGTTCTGCGCGCATGTTAGAGTCCAGGTCCGAGCTCCACGGGTCTTTCCCCCCTCCTTCCTATCATCCTGCTGTTGATGCCGCTGGCGTTGCTAATCCTTCATATTCTCTTCCCCATGATATATTAATATACACACATATATATATATATATGTATGTAAATATACGTGTCGTCCTCTTGCCTCTCCTTCCCTCCGCCTCTCCATCTCTCTCTCTCTCTTGTTCTCCCTCTCTCACTCGCCGTTGTAGGATGTCTGTGGCTTGCAGAGCGTGACTACTCGATGCAAGCGAATCGCACGCGCAGGCAAACTCCCGCCTCTCGCCACCTTTTCTCAGCGAGGCCTCAGGGCGTGGGAGACAGGATAGGGGGGCTGGACGAGAGGATTTGAGTCAGTCCCGTACTATGACCTCTCCGCAGATGTGCAGGGCTGGGATCAAGGGGGTGTCTGCTTCTGATGTGTTGCGGTTAGAGTCGGATGCTCGTTGGCACACCGCGCGGCCACACGAAAGGATCCAATCGACAACAGCTTCTTCCTCTGCACGCATCGGGTATCCTTACGCACTTCTCAAGCCCCACTTACATCTGCTATCGCCAACCCCATACAGTAGCGAAAGCGTGATCTCAAGCAGGAGGCAGACGGAACGTGACGAGGTGTTGTGTGAGTGTGTATGTGCGAGAGGCCAGATCTGGAACATATTCGGACTATCCTGCATCCGCGCATGCTTTGGATGGATGGGGAACAGCGCTCAGTTAAGGGGGGGGGCGCGCCGTTTCGACCACTGATTTGTCTTCTGCTGTGCTTATCGTTTCCCTTCTGTCAGCGATGCGGCCGAAGCCGAGGCAGGATCTCTGAACAGAAGGTGGCTTGTTGCGATCCAGGTTGATGGCGTGCCACATCGAGGAGCGCTGCCCCACCTCGGCTGTCTCTCGAGTCGTGCAGCGCCCGGGCACGCGTCGCAGTGCCAGCCATCCACAAGGCTGGAGCTCGTTGCCCCAGGCCTCCCGAGGAGCAGCGTAGAAGGCAGCTGGTCCAGCACTGCCGCCGGGGAGGGAAGAGGTGGTCGCCCTCCCCCCTCGGTGCGAGGGGGGGACGGCGGAGGGCAGGAATTCAGAGCGTGAACTACCTACCCCGCTTTCGCTTCCATGCAGAACCAAGTCATACCACGCGCCTCCTCGCCAAGCGGCCTGACCAGTGCAGGCCGTAGTTTGGCATCGTTTGGTATCTCTTGGAAGCGAGGGTGGTCAAAAGCGAGGTAGTTTTGTTTGCCCCCTAGGAGTGCCGAGGGGCAGGTGGAGAGTAGGGGCGCGAGGTGCGGGGGGAGGAGGGGGGAGAAGGGAAAAGGGAGGGTGGAGGCAGGTCGGACGGGGCCAGGCCGAGGATAAGCATCCGTTCCCGAGCGGTCCGGAGCGCTCTCATAGCGTTCCGGAACGCCTTCTACGACATCTCCGGATCTTTCGGACCCAGCACCCGCCAGCGCCAGCACCAGCGCTCCGAGAGGGCCGCGGCCCCCGAGGCATCCTCCAGAGCCAGTGGCTCTCAGAGCGTCTCGATCTTTGTCCTCGCCCGAGTCTGTCCTCGTCCTGGCGGCGCGCTCGCAGGGGAGGGAGGAGGGAGGAGGGCGCACCTCGACGTCCAGACCTGCGACGTCCTGGCTTTGTTCCAGACGGCGTCCCTCCAAGTCTCGATCCTTCCCGCTGGGACTGGCTCTTTTCAGCAGTTGTTCTGCTGGCGGCCCCAGGGCCCGGCAAGGGCCTCCGGAGCCCGAATCGGGCGTTCGGTAATCGGGCATTCAATTGGAGCGTGAATTGCCTACCCCGCTTTCGCTTCCAGGCGAAACCAAATCATACCACGCGCCTCCCCGTCGAGTGGCCCGACCAGTGCCTGCCGTAGCTCGGCATCGCTCGGTAGCTCTTGGAGGCGAGGGGGGTCGAGAGCGAGGTACAGGTTCGTTCGCCCCCCCTATTCAAATCACCGCAGCGCCTGGCCTCCACAGCGGCCTCTCCGGCGCGGCCGCGGCGCGCGCGCACGAGCGCGCCTTCCCCACTGCGGCCCGGCCCCTCGCGCGCGCGCGCGGACGCGGCTGCGCGGGCCGCCCGACCCCGCGCGGCCCGGCCGCGCGGCGGCCGCGGCCCGTCGGGGCGCCCCGCCCTCGGGGTCCCGTGGGAGGAGGCGTTGCTCGCCGCTCTCGGGGGCGGTCGGATGCCACTCCTGGGACTTGGCATCGCCCGGACGTGTGCATTTTTCCTTCGGCGAGGACCATCGAGGAGCATCCTTGATCATTTGGCGAAAAAGCCACGCACGACACCGAAACAAACACAGGGAATGGACGTCCGAGCGATGGCCAGGGGAGGTCGAGTTCTGATTGTGCCCCTGCTCCGAAGTGCGGCTCAATCCCGCTCAATCCGGTTTATAATTCCGCTGGATCCCGCTTGATCCTGCTGAATTCCGCTTAGTCCGAGGCCCACTCCGGCGCAACAGGCCCCCAATTGGGGCTGAATCTTCTTTACTCCTTCCGACGAAGACCTCCCAGTAGTTGCCTCCGAAGGGGCGGCCAACAGGGTGGTGATGACTCGGGGGGGGTGGATCTCATGGCCTGGGCCTGGATGTTTCTTCAGACCTCATGGCGCCTCTTATCGTTTCATTACGTCCCTGGCCCGCCCCTGGGCCGCGCACAGGCCGCAGGCCATGATTCGCGCCCCCCCCTCTTGGACGCCCCCCTCTCGGCCGCCCCCGACACTCACCAAACCACCCCAAGCCAACCCGAAGGCCTCAATTTGCTCTCCATGTCCAGTGTGGGGGTGGGGGGGCGGGGAACATGGAGAAAAGACACATGGACACATGGAACCCGTACCCCCCCAACCCGAAATGTGGGTCAAATTCGGGTCTTCGGGTTGGGTTGAGGTGGTCTGGTAGGTAGTCAATCTCAACATGGGTGGAGGGTACCCGCGAATGTTCTTCGGTTTGGCCAGCGGAGGGTCTCGCGTGCTCGAATCGGGAAGCGTACACGACGCGAGTAATTCAGCCGGATCTCGGGTTTGCGGGCGTTCTTTTTGCGGTGGTTTTAGAAGACGAAACGCCCTGAACATAAACTTTTGGCGATCCGCGCGGATTTACTGGATCCGCACATTGGCCCCCCCGGCGGCGCCTCCAGCGCTGCCCCTGGCGCGCTCCGCGCGCCAGGGATGGGGGTCCAGCGCGGATCCAAGATATCCGCCCAGAGCGCCAACAGTTCATGTTCATGTCGTTTGTTCTTCTTCCATTCCAGCCTCGGGATGCTCTCCAGTAAGCGCGCGCCTCGCTGAGGGCGTCCCCGGGGCGCCTGGATCGTCCCGAGCATCCGCCAGACAGCCGAGGTAGGGCCCGAAGACCAAGGGGCAACGATAGGGCGGGGTTAGGCACAGGGGGTATGCATCGACCCCCAGTCGCCCATTGATCGCCGATAGGGGCCCGATGGCCCCAACCCGTCCAGGAACGTGTGGTGTGTGGGAGTCACCCTCAGGCCGTTCGCCGATCCGTCGGCGATGTATCGCCGATTCCGGGTCGATGTGTCCCCCCTATTCCCTATCCCCCCCAATCGTTGCCCAAGGAGCGAATCCCCCCCCCTATCCCCCCTATCCCCCCCCAATCGTTGCCCCTCAGTTCAGGAGCGAAGGGGAAGGACGCACGCGTGCGCGAAGCTGCGCCGGTGGTTTCGAGCGTGCGCGTGGCGCGAGCGTTCGTAGCACGGGGCCCGGTCTCGTGGACGGGGGGGGGCCGAGTTCATGTACGTGGCTGGGCGCGCGGGTCCTGTGTAACACGGTGGGGGCGAGGGGGGAGCGGCGGTGAGAACGGTTGGCGTCGCTCGCACGTGTATTTTTTTTTTTTTTTTGTTTCTTTTCGGCGAGGGCCATCGGGGGCATCCCTGATCATTTGGCGAAAAAAAGCCACGCACGAAGCCGACAAAAGCACAGGGAATGGACGTCCGAGCGATGGCCAGAACGAGGGCGGGGGCGAGGCGGGGCCACGGAGGTGACGCCGGCGGGGGCGGGCGGCAGGGGGGACCTTATAGCGCCTGCGAGCCAACGAGGCGCAGTCCACCACGGCCGACAGTCAGGCAGGAAGATCTGCTCCGGAGGAGGAGGGGAGGAGGAGGAGGAGAGGGAGGAGGAGGGGGAGGGGGAGGAGGAGGAGAAGGAGGAGGAGGAGGAGGAGGAGGAGGAGGAGGAGAAGGAGGAGGAGGAGGGAGGAGGAGGAGGAGGGGGAGGAGGGACCCTCAGATCTGGGCGTTGCCCTTCTTGTCACTCCGGGCGTTTTTCCGCCGGGTTTCGGGCCTCGGGATCCTCGCAGTGCGGCCCGGCTCGAACAAAAATCACCAGGAAGAGGGAGGGGTCTAGGGCTCCAGTCCTGTTTTTCTTGCGATGTTGCAAGAGGAGTTTCGCAATGTCGGATTTCGGGGGATGAGCAAGGGAGGTGTTGGGAGAGACTGAGGGTGAAGAGGGAGCACGGATACTTCCGTCATTTGTGTTGCTGCTCTTTCTTTGGGTTGCTGCTGGACGCGCTTCACAGGGGGCTTTTGGGGGGGGGCGATCTAGCCTCCTCTTGTAACCCAGAGAGGAAGAGGAGGGGGAGGAGGAGGAGGAGGTGTCAGGAGGGATGACGATGTTGGTGTTTGCTGTGATCGGTGGCCACGGTGAGGATTAGGATGATCGTGATGGTGGTGGTGGCAGTGAGGATGAATCTGATAACGCATGTGTTGGGTAGGTTGGCCAGGAGACGCAAGACACACGCCGACGCCGATTCTGGCCAGGCAGGCCCGTCCTGGGCCCGTGCGCGATTTATAAGTCGCCTTCTCGGACCTCAGAGCGAGTCCGATGGACGAGCCTCCGGACACAGCGCTCCGAGAATTCTTGACGCTTCTCGCATCCCCAAAGGGGGGTGTTTGCAGTCCCCACCCCTGGCACCGCCCCGCAGCCCCGGCGCTGAGGCTTCCCCCGGCGGTAGGTCCTGCTCTGCTCCGTGCTAGGCAATTAGGCCCCTGCGCGGCCCGCTTGGACCTTACTCGCCGCTGGCGCTCTCGCCTGCGGCTGCTAACAGAAAAGCATCCCCACCGGCCCAGTCGGAAGCCGTTTGCCAGGCGAGTTCGCTGTGTGAGAGGTTCTCGGGGGTCTCTTGGAGCCATCTTGGGGCTCTCTTGGGGTCCCCATGGGGCCCTCTTGGGGCCCTCTTGGCGCCCTCTTGTTTTTTTTTTTGGGTGGGGGGGCATTTCGGGGCCCTGTTGACTCCCTTTGGGCGGCTCTGAGAGATCTCTTGGGGCCCGTAGCTAAAAGGAGGGGGTTCCTCAATTCATGCCCCCGCCCCCCCCCCCCCCCCCCATTGGAGGTTAAACAATGCCTCTTGGGGACTTCTTTGGGCGCTCTCCGGGTGTTTTTGGGCGTTGTTGGGGCCTTCTTGGGGCCCTCATAGGCCCCTCTTGGGGCTCTCTTGGGCCGTTTCGGGGCCATCTTGAGGCCTCGGAGGCCTATCAGCAGCGAAAGGCGAAAACGCACAAATCATCATTATTCCTCTTCAGGTTTTGGAGCCATGTTGGCTCTTGGGGGTATCCGTGGAGGGCTCGAAGGGTACTTGAAAACATCTTGGGGCCGCTTTAGGGCGTCATCGATGCATATGGGAGGCTATCTTGGGCCATCGCCAGCTATCTTGAGCCATCTTGGAAGCCATTTTGGGTTCTCTCAGTCCCGCTTGGGGCCAACTTGGGCGCTCTAGCGCCTCGCGCCCCCCACCCCTCTCCCAGGCACAGGGAAGGGGGTATGGGGGAGGGGGCAAGACATCCCCTAGATAGCAAACCGTTTAGCTCACTCCCACCAGCCCTCCCGACACATACGTAGCACCCGAGCCTGAGCATGTGCAGCAGTCGTCTATGGATGGGCAGCTATTACGAGCCAGAACCGACCTGATGTGCGCGACGCTGGGGCGAGGTGCGCCAGGCGTGCCAGGCGCGCCAGGCGCGCCAGGCACCCCTGGGGACCGAGCGTGTCAGGCACGCCTGGTGTGCTAGGTGCGCCACGTGCTCCGCTTGCGCCAGGTGTATCGCACACTCCATCCGCGCCAGGTGCCCCACATTCGGGGCACGTGCAAAGTGTGTCAGGCGCACCTGCGCACGTGACAGTACACATCGGGAAATGTGTCGGCCCCCACCATCCTTGTCAGAAACCAATTCCCAACATTGTGTTTGGTGGGCCTGCGCACAGCAGGTTACACGCTACCACCCCCGCCGCCCCTGTCAAAAACCACTTGACAGTGGCCGCGCATGCTCCAGATTTGGCCGCGAGGTGCATTATGTATTATGTGTTGTTAGGGATGGTAGCTTCGTGCGCACAGCAAGCAATATACTGACACACCCGCCGCTTCGTGCGAACAGCACAAAGGGTTCACTGGCCTCACGAACATGACTCAAGACTTTGCCCAAAAGTGTATGTTGTTCCCCCCATCAGTGCTTGCACTCAAGGGGCCTTAGCGGGAGATTGAACGATTTGGCGAACATTCTGGGCCGAGTTCGGTAGGCCGCCGGGTTCCTTGGTTCCCAGTTCCAGGTTCCCGGCGGGTTCCCGGTTGCTGGTTCTGGGCCGATCTCGGTTTGCGGCGGGGTTCTCGGGTGTCATTTTTCTCCCGGATTCCGAACGATTTGTTTTTATCGATCGTTTGCACGATCGATCTCGTTCTCCACCTCCCTAGCGATCTCACAGGTGATGTCGCAATCTATTGGTGTATCGATATCACAGTCGTTGCCACTTTAGATCTCACCAGCGACCTCACGATCAATCTCATTATCGATGTCACTGAACCGACTTCAGTATCGGTCTCACGGCCTTACTATCGTCTACATTATCGATCCCACTATCGATCTGATTGTCGATTTCACCATCGATCTCAACATCCATATCACTATTTCTAAGACCGTCCACTGTTTGGGTTTCGTCTCTGGTGTAATATTTGTTTGGACAGGGAAGGTGGGGGGGCGCATCGGTTTGGCCGCACATGCTGACAATGTGGAGGCAGAGTGCGTGTTGTATTGTTTTTGACAGGGATGGTGGTGGTGGGGTGAGCATGGTTCCTGGTTGGCTGCCGGTCGCCTGGTGGAGGGGGTGTATATTAATAGGGAACAGTGGGAACAGTGATAACCCCCTCCCCCGATCAGGGGAAGGAGGGGTTGTGGAAAGAGAGAAGACCAAACGCGTTAAACCACGTACGCCCAGAGGGCTGGTGGGATTAGCCCGTATGCTCATTCCCGAAGAGGTGATCTCTTGCGTCGGAAGCTTATGCTTCTGCGTTCGGGCCGTTCTGGAGTGCACTTGGCACAGCACGTCCCCGCTCCCAAGCGCTTCTAATTATGCTTACGCGGCGAAAGAGATAAGAACACGAGGACGGGTACGTAACGGGAGGAGCCTGATGGAGCCGCAGGAGGGCTGGAAGCGGCCCCTTCCGCCCCCGCGGCCGAGGCTCTGGCGATGAGGGCGGCGGACCGGGCACAGCCCAGGCCCAAGGCCGCAGCAGCAGGGGGGGGAGGGGGAGGAAACAGGAGGAGGAGGAGGAGGAGGAGCAGGAGGAGGAGGAGGAGGAGGAGGAGGAGGAGGAGGAGGAGGAGCAGGAGGAAGGAGCAGGAGGAGGAGGAGGAGGAGGAGCAGGAGGAGGAGGAGGGGAGGAGGAGCAGGAGGAGGAGGAGAAAGGGAGGAGGGAGGAGGGAGGGGAGGGGGGAGGGAGGGGGTGGCAGAGGCTCCGAGGAGGCAGTTCCAGCAAGTCGAGCAGGCCCAAGGCCTGTGCATGCAGCGGCTGCACGCTCGCTCTGGCAGCGGTAGGCTCTTGCGGTCCTGGTGCGGCAGCGAGCGCGGGCGTCGAGGGTTGAATGCCACTGCCTCTTGGGGCCCTCGACGGGTTGGGTCGTTCAATCTTGGACGTTTCACGCGCCGGCAGAGGCCAGAGCCCGTAGCAGGAGCTTGTGGAACCTGTCGCAGCACGTTCCATACGCCTGTGGTAATTCAGGCTGCATTCCCCTGGGTACGCATCGCATTCTCCATTCCCTCTCTTGCCAGGTTGTGCGTCGCGCTCAAGGCGCACGCGTCTCTGGGGAGCATCCCGACTTCAAGTGCGGGGGCCCTGTCCCCCAAGGGGCGGGCACAACCGTCTTGCCTCTCTTGGGCCGACTTCTCCACTCGCAAAACCTTGCGTAACGCGCGACTGAGGCTTTTTGGGGGTGAGCCAGCCCCACGACCGAGAGGCCGCTACCAGCCTCCAGGAAGCCTCCCAAGAGGCGCCCGAGTCGACCCCAGACGGGGGCCACAGTACAGCCTTCAGGCAGTCCAAGAAGGCACACAGTAGCCCTGGATTTCAAACTGGCCTCAGTCATGCCAAGTATCTACCACAGACTCCCGCAATTGCGGGTGCGAGTGAGGGGGCGGCGGGGTCGTCAGCAGTATGCGATGCGCCGATTTGTGATACATCACGCGAAGCATCCGCCGCCAGTGCCGAACTTGTGTCAAGTTAGTGTGGGTGGGTCGCGGGTGTGTCGCGGGCGGGTCGCGGGTGAGTCGCGGGTGGGTCGAAAGCGGGTCGCAGGTGGGTCGCGGGTGGGTCAGGGGCGAGTCGCAGGCGGGTCGCGGGTCGCTGGCGAGGACAACGACAACAACAACATCAACATCAACAACAACACCAACAACAGCAACACCAACAACAGTCACAACAACAAACAGCAGTCAGCAACGAACAACAGAAACACCAATCTCCGCACAAGCCCACTGCAGGCACGCACCCAGGAACGGTGTAAGACCGTTCGGCCCCCTTGTTCTGATTTGGACCACCAGCCCCAGACAATTTCACGTCCTCCGGTGAACACCCCCCACGGTCCGCGGGCGTTGCTTGCTCTCATGCCTTGTTCTACATCCGCGTGCGCAGGTGCATTCGCCCATTGTTGTTAAAGTATCTTGTTGTTAGAACATCCTGAGGTGTTGGGTCCCCGTTTTGAAGAGATAGCGCCCCGCGTCCCTCGCTCCTTCCCTCTCTCCCTCCCTCCCGCCTCATCCCGCTCCTTCCTCATCGTTGCCTCTTCCCTCCGCACCAGTAAACCATCTCGGCACATCCGTCAAACGTTTTGTGGCCCCACACGGAGCTCCACCGAAGGCCGCAGTGGCTGCGCTCGCATGCGCCCGCCACGCGAATTTCAGCACATCCCTCACACGTTTCGTGGCCCCCTAGAGAGTTCCACCGAAGCTCCTAGTGGCTGCACTCGCATGCGGCACATACCTCACACTATTGTAGCCCCAAAGGGGGCTCCACCGAAGGCCCCAGTGGCTGCGCTCGCATGCGCCCGCGGAGCCCATTTCGGCACATCCCTCGCACGTTTCGTTGCCCATAGGGAGCTCCACCGAAGGCTCTGGTTGCTGTGCTCGCGTGCGCCCACCGCACCTATTTCGGCACACGCGTCGAACTTCTCGTGTCCCCATCGAGGATTCCACCGAAGGCCCTAGTGGCTGGGCCCGCGTGCGCTCGCCGCGCCCATTTCGGCACACCCCTCACACGTTTCGTGGCCCCCTCGAGAGCTCCACCGAAGGCCCCACCGGCTGCGCTCGCATGCGCCCGCCGCGCGATTTCCGGCACGCCTCTCACGCGCTTCGTGGTCCTAATAGGGAGATTCACAGGCCCTTGTGGCTGCGCTCCCATGGGTCCGCCCCGCCCATTCTCGGCACACCCCTCTAACGCTTCACCGAAGGCCCCGAAGGCCCGAAGGCCCCGAAGGCCCCAATCTCGGCCCCCCCATAAGGAGCTCCACCGAAGGCCCCAGTGTTCGCATGCGGTCGCCCCGCCTATGCTCGGCACACCCCTCACACGTTTCGTGGCCCCATGGGGAGTGCCGCCGGAAACTCCAGTGGCGGTGTTCGCGTGCGTCTGCCCCGCCGATGTCGGTGCGTCCCTCACATGTTTCGCGGTCCCATCGGGAGCTCCACCGAAGGTCCCAGTGGCGGCGTTCGCATGCGTCCGCCCCACCCATTTCGGCATACCCCTGACACGTTCCGGGGTACGGAGTTCCACCGAAGGCCCCAGTGGCTGCGGTCGCATGCGCTCACCTCGCCAATTCCGGTATATTTCCTCACGTTTCGTGGCCCCACGGGGAGCTCCACCGAAGACGATACTCACAACTGCGTCATTCACATCTGCATATGGTCTGTTCCTTCGCCAGGCTAAGCGTGCCTGGGGGTTGTCCTGTTAAAATGGATCGCCGAGTAGATGGTCTGCTGAAGACTGCAGAGAGGTCTCCATGCGCCCGGTGTCGCTTCCCCTATTTATCACATGCTATTACACGAGAGGAGTAGATCTTGGAGGAGGACGAGGAGGAGGAGGAGGAAGAGGAAGAGGAAGAGGGGGACGAAAACGAGGAGGAGGAGGAGGAGGAGGAGCAGAAGGAGGAGGAGGAGGAGGAGGAGGAGCAGAAGGAGGAGCAGAAGGAGGAGGAGGAGGAGGAGGAGGAGGAGGAGGATCCCGACAAGGACGAGGAGGCAATTCCCACACCGATCCTGCGTTGGAGACCCCAGCAGGCTCGCTAGAGAGCTTCGGGGAGCCCGTCCCAACTCCAGGACGCCGACGACAAGGGCGCCCTGGTTTCGGGCGGGGCTCTGTTTTTTTGTTTCCTGCTTCGCACGCGCCCTCGACGCGGGTCGGGGAGAACCTCCTCGTGGCCGAGGTTGGCCGTGGCCGCAGGACCCTGCGTTCTCCTCCTGTGGCAGCGGGAAGCCGCGTGCTGAGGGTGGGCAGCCTTCCCAAGTCGGCCACGCGCAGAGGGGTGTCGGGGGGATGGGGTTAAGTCGGGCCTGTCCCTCTACAGGGGGAATCCTAAAAGATAGTCCAAGCATAGTCTGAGGACGATGTTTTATCAATTTTGACCAATTGACCCGTATTGTTCGACTCTCTCTCTCTCTCTCTCTCTCTCTCTCTCTCTCTCTATATATATATATAATAAAAAATTATGCTAACGGAGTTCCCCACATAAAGAGATTAACGGTTTCGTGGGACCCATTTTCTTGATGCCCTCCTCGCTTTGGCGGGGCCCCGCTGGAAGGGGGGAGGGCTACGAAACCTGGCGAAGAGTAATGCTTTCCGCGACCCTCCTCGTTCAAGCGCGGCCTCTCTGGAGGAGTGGAGGGGGGACACGAAACCGTGTAAACAGCATGTTTTCCGATACTCTCCAGGAAGAGGAGGAGGAGGAGGAGGAGGAGGAGGAGGAGGAGGAGGAGGAGGAAGAGGAGGAAGATGGATGATGGCGAAGAGCCTCCCTGCAGGGGTCGGAGGAGCACGAAACCATGTAAATAGTATGGTTTTTGGATACCCTCCTCGCTCAGGCGGGGCCTCCCTGGAGAGGTGGGAGGGGCACGAAACCATGTAAATAGTATGGTTTTCGGATACCCTCCTCGCTCAGGCGGGGCCTCCCTGGAGGTGTGGGAGGGGCACGAAACCATGTAAATAGTATGGTTTTGCCTCCCTGGAGAGGTGGGATGGGGCACGAAACCATGTAAATAGTATGGTTTTCGGATACCCTCCTCGCTCAGGCGGGGCCTCCCTGCAGGGGTGGGAGGGGCACGAAACCATGTAAATAGTATGGTTTTCGGATACCCTCCTCGCTCAGGCGGGGCCTCCCTGGAGAGGTGGGAGGGGCACGAAACCATGTAAATAGTATGGTTTCGGATACCCTCCTCGCTCAGGCGGGGCCTCCCTGGAGGGTGGGAGGGGCACGAAACCATGTAAATAGTATGGTTTTCGGATACCCTCCTCGCTCAGGCGGGGCCTCCCTGGAAGGGTGGGAGGGGCACGAAACCATGTAAATAGTATGGTTTTCCGATACCCTCCTCGCTCAGGCGGGGCCTCCCTGGAGGGGTGGGAGGGGCACGAAACCATGTAAATAGTATGGTATTCCGATACCCTCCTCGCTCAGGCGGGGCCTCCCTGGAGGGGTGGGAGGGGCACGAAACCATGTAAATAGTATGGTATTCCGATACCCTCCTCGCTCAGGCGGGGCCTCCCTGGAGGGGTGGGAGGGGCACGAAACCATGTAAATAGTATGGTATTCCGATACCCTCCTCGCTCAGGCGGGGCCTCCCTGGAGGGGTGGGAGGGGCACGAAACCATGTAAATAGTATGGTATTCCGATACCCTCCTCGCTCAGGCGGGGCCTCCCTGGAGGGGTGGGAGGGGCACGAAACCATGTAAATAGTATGGTATTCCGATACCCTCCTCGCTCAGGCGGGGCCTCCCTGGAGGGGTGGGAGGGGCACGAAACCATGTAAATAGTATGGTATTCCGATACCCTCCTCGCTCAGGCGGGGCCTCCCTGGAGGGGTGGGAGGGGCACGAAACCATGTAAATAGTATGGTATTCCGATACCCTCCTCGCTCAGGCGGGGCCTCCCTGGAGGGGTGGGAGGGGCACGAAACCATGTAAATAGTATGGTATTCCGATACCCTCCTCGCTCAGGCGGGGCCTCCCTGGAGGGGTGGGAGGGGCACGAAACCATGTAAATAGTATGGTTTCCGATACCCTCCTCGCTCAGGCGGGGCCTCCCTGGAGGGGTGGGAGGGGCACGAAACCATGTAAGTAGTATGGTTTTCGGTATGGAGTGGTATGGAATGGTATGGTAGGTATGGTATGGTACGGTATGGTATGATATGGTATGGTATGGTACTGGAGGTATGGTATGGTATGGTACGGTGTGGCATTGGTGTGATATGGTATGGTATGCTATGGTACGCCATGGTATGGTATGGTACGGTATGGTACGTATGGTATGGTATGGTATGGTATGGTATGGTATGGTATGGTATGGTATGTGTGGTAGGAACTATGGTATGGTATGGTGTGTGTGGTAGGAATAATATTGTGCTGTATGGAAGATGGAGCGGGAGGTGGGTGGGAAGGAGAGGGTGTTCTGGGAAAACAAGAACCCCACTCAGGATGTGGGGAAAAAACGTCCGACATCGGCCTGTAGGGGGACGGGCTCGACTTAAGGATAGGGGAAGGCTTCTCAGGAGCACCCCGCCTCGTAGGCCCGCGCGGGCCTTGCGCGGCCAGAGGAGCCCCAGTCGCTCTTCGCTCCCCGCGTTCGCCCCCTGTGGCACCGGGAAGCCGCGTGCTGAGGGTGGGCAGCCTTCCCAAGTCGGCCAAGGCGGCGGCGGAGGGCTTGCCTTCGGCGGCTGCAGTCGAAGGACAAGCATCGGCAGAAGCATCAACTTTTGGCGGAGCGCCAGAGGCTTGTGTTCAGGTTCCCCTGTATACAGAGCTCAGCGAGGATGTGGTTTGCGATCTGCGACGTTGGAGTTTGGGGGGCACAACGTTGCCCTCGTTGGGTCTCGTCGGGGCGCAGCGGAGATCGGCCACGCGCAGAGGGGTGTAGGGGGATGGGGGAAGGCTTCTTAGGAGCACCCTGCTTCTTAGACAGCGCGGGCCTCGTCTGTGGATGTAAGGCCGGCGCCATCTAAGAAACAGCCTCCTAAGAAGCCTTCCCCCCTCCCCCTACCCCCTTGTGTGCGCCGCCAACCAAGTGTACCCTTGCATCCTTGCCTCCTGGCCAATCGTTGGCCACTTCGTTTTCCGCGCCCCTCTCCAAAAACGTCGACATAGGCGTCCAGGGCCCTTGCATCCTCACCGCGCATCGTTCTGATACAGCCCGACTGTGGCACGGTGGCCGTCTTCGCAGGGGCGCCCACGACGGCCCCCCACACGGTCACGGTGCCCCGTAATGGCGCAGCAGGGCAGCAGCAGGGCTTTGGGAGAGGGGAAGGAGACGCTCTGGGAGTGGACTCTGGGCTCCTCCTCCTCCTCCTCCTCCTGCTCCTCCTCCTGCTCCTCCTGCTTCTGCTCCTCCTCCTGCTTCTCATCCTCCTCCTGCTCCTCCTCATGTTCCTCCTGCTTCTGCTCCTCCTCCTGCTCCTCCTGCTCCTCCTCCTCCTCCTGCTCTTCCTCTATTCCTCCTCCTTCTCCTCCTCCTCCTCCTGCTGCTGCTCCTCCTCCTCCTCCTCCTGCTCCTTCTATTCCTCCTCCTCCTCCTCCTCCTCCTCCTCCTCCTCCTCCTCCTCCTCCTCCTCCTCCTCCTCCTCCCCCCCCTCCTCCTGGGAGAGCTGGCCCCGGCCCACGGCGTCCCCCGCACTTCTCGGTCCCTCTCGGAGTCCCCGAGGGGCCCTTTTGGTGCCTCCTGCGGCGGCTGGAACGCACGGACCGGCGAGCGCGTGCAGCGCCCCGATGATCGAGCTCAGAGGAGGAGGAGGAGGAGGAGGAGGAGGAGGAGGAGGAGGAGGAGGGGGAGGAGGAGGAGAAGGAGGAAGAGGAGGGGGAGGAGGAGGGGGAGGAGGAGAGGAGGAGGAGGAGGAGGAGGAGGAGGAGGAGGAGGAGAAGGAGGAGGAGGAGGAGTGGAGGAGGAAGAGGGTGGGATGACCCTTCCCCCTCGGCGAAGGCGTGGAGTTGCTCGGAATACCTGATGCACCGTATGGGGGCATTATGAGGAGACGCCTGCAGCGCCACCTGCCCGGGACTGACCCAGGTCAGAAGATCCCCAGAGGAGAAGAGTTGGATCCCTTAGGAGCAAACGCTGCTTTCAGAGGAGGGAAAGTACCCATGCCTCTACCCTTCGCCCGTTTTCTCCCCTTGTTGGGCCTCCTGGGCGGCCCTCGTCGCCGCCGATGGATTCGCCTGGAAATCCTGGTCAGGGCGCACCCGGGGAGAGGCCAAGGGAGTAGCGGCATCGGCACCTTTTCGGTTTCCCCACGGACGACTTCCGTTGACAGTTTCGGCCGATGCTGTTGGTCCCATCTGGAGTGCGGCGGGCCGTCTGGGAAAACCAGGGGGAGGGAGGGCAAAAGAAGACGAGATAAGACAGGCCGAACAAACTCCCGACATACAGGACACATCATGAGAGAGAGAGAGAGACACCAAGAGAACGCGAGAGGCAGAGGGATGCAAACCATGGGGGTCCTGATCCGTGCGTTCGCACCTCTGCTGCGATCCGAGGGTCCGCGTCGACCGCGATGGTGCCCTCACCGGGCAGCTTGGGCCGATCACGCGTCGATGCCGTGGCCTCTGGGAAGAGGGCGGCCGTTCTGGCGACCGTCCCTTGGTTTACCAGCCTGGAACATATCCCTATCCCTATGCTGGGCATCTCCTCATCACGATGCCAATCTTAGGGATTCCCTTATTTTGTGAGGGCGCACCCCTAAGATTGCCATCGCCTTTTGGCGTGTCAATCTTAGGGATAGGGATAAGGTCGAGGCTGGTAATTGGCAAAGGGCGCGGGCTGACCAGGGCTGAGGTCCGGGGAGGGCGGTGCGCGGGAGAGGGGCAGGGCGACGGGGCAGCTGAGGAGCAGGGGGGGGAGGGCCGCAGGGGGGCGATGGGGAGGGAGAGGGAGGCGGGGCAAGCTGGGTGCGCTAGCGTTAAGTCGGGCGTGTCCCCCTACAGGGGGATTTTCGACGAAACATACAAAAATACCCCAACAGTAGTCCAAACATAGTCCAACAATAGTCTGGGGACTATGTTTTTTTGTTTAACCTTTTTGGTGTATGTTTGGGGGGTACTTTTTATTTGTCGTCGAAAATCCCCCTGTAGGGGGACACGCCCGACATAACGCTAGCGTCACATATGACGTCCTACCCCTCCCTCCCACCCCTTACCATGGCGTAGATGTCCTAACTCTTCGCACAGTCGGATGTCGAGCAGGGCAAAGATCCCAAGAGGCTGCGCGATGGATCAAGAGCACGGCGTAGAATAGTACGGCAGAGCCTGGCACATAGCAGGGCGTGGCATTGGGTTGTGAAGCATGGCGTCGCAAAGCATAGCTACGCAAAGTGTGGCATCGCACAGCGGTGCACAACACAGCATTGCATTGCATGCCGTGGCACGGCACCTGATCACTTGAAGGGTAAGTGGCCCGTCTACGAGAGGACATGGCCTGCCCGGAATGCTGGCTTCATGTCCTCCGAAACCGTGCTTGCCCGATGTGGACGCTTTCGAATGCGAAGTGCCGTCCGGAGGCGCGTGAACGAGGCCCGAGTTGCAGAGGGAGCACGATTTCGAACGACGGACGCGCAGAAATAAGAGCGGCGCTGCAGCGGGAACTTCCTCTTTGAAGAACCAGAAACGACCAAATTGAAGAAACACATCGGAAAGGGCTTGCGTTCGGTTCGCATCATCTGGGGCCTTGGGCATCCCCATGTCAAGCCGAAGCTATCGCGCTTGAGACGGGGCTCACATAAAATAGTGGCATCTTGTGTTTAAGACAAATCAGTGCGCGGAGAGAACGGGAGACTCTTTGGACAGAGTCAGGGGAGAGAGAGGAGAATAGTATTCAGATTGTGTCATTGTAGAGGGGGAAGTGAGGGAGGGGAGGGAGAGGGGAGGAAGGGGGAGGGGGAATGGGGGCGGGGGGAGGGGGAGGGGAAGGGGAGGCGGGAGGGGGGAAAGGCGGGGGGCAGAAGAGGGGATGTGGGGTGGGAGAGGGAGGGCGACGGGGGGGGGTGTGGGGGGGGGGCAGAAGTGGGGACGGGCCAGGGGAGGGTGGGCGGATTGGGAGGGCGTGCGAGTGGGGTGATGGGTGATCCCTTGCCTTATGATGTCCCAGCCTATGTGAACATTGACGACCAGACATAATCTCGAGCACCGAGAACGTGCCGAAACGTGACGGTTTTCACGTGAGGGGCCCAAGTCATGTCTGGGAGGTGGTCCTTAAGTACGACGAGAACAACATAACCCTTGCCTCATCTTCGCCCTCGCTTTCTCCATCTCTCCGCCCCCCCTCCTCGTCCTCTCCCTCGTTCCCTCGTTCCCTCGTTCTCTGCGTCCGCCCCTCCCTCGCACCTCCCTGTGCCCTGTCCACTCCCCCCTGCGTTTCTCGCTCGTCCCCTCGCTCCCTGCCTCCCCTGGCTGCCCTCTTTCCTGCCCAGCTCCCCCCCCCTTCCAAAATTCCCTCTCCTGCCGCCGCCACCCTCGCCTCCTCTGTGGAGGTCAACGCCGTGGGCGTGAACATCGCCGTCGACCTCCGCTTCGATCGCTTTGAGGACCAGGCGTCGGCGTCATGCTAAGCCGTGCCGCTGCAGTCCCATTCTTCCCCGCTTCAGCGGTTGAAGAGGAGGAGGAGGAGGAGGAGGAGGAGCACGTCGCGGAGGAAGAGGAGGACGACAGGGAGACGGAGGTGGAGAAGGAAGAGGAGGAGGTGGAGAAGGACCAGCCCAGGGGCGACAGGGGTGGCGGTCTGAAGAGGAGGGCGGCAGGCCATGAAGCATACAGTAAAGTTGCCCGCACTTGCAGCGCTAAATCAGGAACGGAGCCCCATGGTGCCCCGAACAAAACGCCTAGGTGCATGAGGAGCACTGGAGGAACGACCATGGATTTTCCCGGGGACAAGCGAGCTCCTTCCGAACTCAAGCTGCCCCTTATTGCAGCGTCTTAACCGTAGTCAATGGGGGTATGGGCTATCGAAAGATGCGCCCGCAATTCATGCATTTCGCATCCCCTCTTGCGATCCGCAGCAGGTTGCCACGCTGTCCGTCGGGCAGCACACGATGACGCCACTCTTCACGTTCCCACCCTACGAGTTCGCCGTGGGACTGTACCCCAACGGTGCCAAGGAGGACCGCCTGGCACATGGAGTTACACACATGTATGCAGAGATACGCGTTGCACGTGCGTGCCCAGGCTCATACAAACACAGGTGTGCGTGTCTCGTCCAAGGTTTGTGTTATTTGTGCTCTGTGCTGTGTGCGTGTGTTGTATGCGTGGTGCTTGTTACTTGTATGTGTGAGATATGTGCGGGCAGTGTGTGCTCTGCGTGGTATGTGCATTAGGTGTGGTTGTGTGTGGACGTCGTGTGTGTTGCTTGTGGTGCGTGTGTCTTGTGTGCGATGTGTGCGTGTGCGTGTGTGTGTGTGTGGTCGTGGGTGTGCGTGTTTCTGTGTGTGTGCTGTGTGTGTGTGTTGTGTTAACGTGTGTCTTTTTTGTTTGGCGTGTGTGCGCGTGTTCAGTGTGTATATCATGTGCGCGCGCGTGTGTGTGTTGTTTGTCGGGGCTCGATGCTTGGAGCGCTTCTCAAATGAAACGATTGGTTCGCTTTTCTAAGAATTCCTTTGAAAAGGAAGCTCGATGTTGCTAGATGTTTCTGAGGATGATCATGCGAAATTGCAATGTTCGAAGAATCGGGTTCATACTATTTTAACTCTACTGTATGTTGGAGGTTCTATTGTCAACCATATTGATCCTGCTGTTCTTTTGGAATGTGACGTCGCGATCTGCGCGATGGGGGTGCGTCGGTTCCTCAGATTGTTGAGGATGTCCTGGGCGAAACAGGTGAACAAGAAACGCGGCTTCATGGATTCGTCTTCGAGCTCCTATTCATTCGGGTAGTTGCATATGATTTGAGGGAGTTTCTGTGGAACTCACGTCATCCTCACCCCCGGCGCGAAGAGCACGAGTCCAGAGCGGCCTCCGGCACCGTTTCCGGACAGATCCGGTGGATCCGCTGGATCCGCTGCAGATCCGGTGACGAATCCCAAACCGGCGCCCTCGCTTGAGACATCCTCACAAAACCGGCCCCGGGGGAGGTGCCCAGAGGAGCCCAGAGCGGCCTCCGGGGGGAGGGGCCCAGAGGAGCCCAGAGCGGCCTCCGGCACCGTTTCCGGACAGATCCGCTGGATCCGCTGGATCCGCTGGATCTGGTGACGAATCCCAAACCGGCGCCCTCGCTTGAGACATCCTCACAAAACCGGCCCCGGGGGAGGTGCCCAGAGGAGCCCACTTCGTGCACTCCTTTGGTTCAGGCGATATATGTCTCCAGAAATCGTGTTATTACTCACGCAAGGCTCAATATAACCCAGCGATCAACAGTTGTATCGGTCGTATCTAGATGTATGTAGATATAACTCTTGTTGAAATATAACAAGATGTAAGTACATGCTGCACTTATACCACGACTTGTATCGACTTATATTGTAGTTGCGCTTGGGCCCATCAGAGTTACACAACAGTTATAAATCGTTAGCTGAGAGTTATGATTCACGAGAAACGGACGCGAAAAGTTACAAACACAATACGAGAGTTATGAACAAGTTAGGAAAACTTATGGAAAAGTTATGAATTGGCATGCATGCGGGGGCGGAGCCTCCCGTCGAATCGCGTGCTCGACGACTGCAGTGGCGGCAACGTTCGTGGTGGAGGGGGGAATGCCTTAATCGCTGTCGTCGCTGATCGTCTCGGGCCTGTCGGTGTCGTCGTCGATCGTCTCGGGCCTGCCGTCGCTGCTCTCGCTGCTCGTGATCCATTCGGGCCTCGGCGTGCGAATGGGCCAAACGGCGACCGATCGATTGATGAATCGATCGATCGATCGCCGCTCGGCCTTGGAATTCCCCGATGGCCCCGCGAGGCCGCTAAGTTCGAGGCTCCGTCGGCGGAGTCGTCGGCGGCTCCGTATCCGTCGGCGGCTCTGGTAGCGTCGGCCGCGCCCACCGCGCATTAACCCGTGGTGCTACCCGCGCGATCAACCATGGGCCCGCTGGGGGGACCCACACATAGAAAAAAACCTCCCATACACCTACCGCCACTTCCATCTCGAGCCGATCTCGGGAGGGGGGGGGAAGGAAGGGAGGGGGGGGGCAGGGGGGAAGGAGGGAAGGAGGTGGAAGGAGGGGAGGAGGGGGGGAGGGAAGGAAGGAGGGAGGGAAAGAGGAGGGAGGAGAAGGGCACTCTCACATTTCTGCCCTACCAACATAATTAGGATGCAAGGCCCTTGGGCGCCCAAGTTGAGGCCAAAGTCTTCAAGGATACCCTTGGGGGGATACCTTTAGGAGGAGGGGGGATGAAGAGGGCCCTGCAGGGATGACCGACGCATAGCCACGCGCCCATGGCTGGAACGGGCACGAGAAAGGGGAGAGCGAGAGAATGTTGTTCTTCCCACTTGCGTTTCTCTAACGCACGGTGTCTGGTTCGCTGCCAAGGGGTCAAGCCACCGTTGCGGGCAACGATCAGAAACGAACCAAAGAGCACAAGCTCATGGCACTGAAACCCTCACCTACGCATAGGTGTTCACCTACCGTTCTGAACGTAGCGCACGACATCCTTCCACACGAGCTGGGGCTCTTTCTTTTTCCAAGAAAACTGCACATCGACCACCTGCCCAGCCTTCAGCACCCTCCAGCGCGACGAGCCGAAGGACGTGTAGATCCACGGCCCCCAAGCGCTCGGGCAACCACGGCGCGAGGAGGAGGAGGAGGAGGAGGAGGAGGAGGGGAATATGCAGGCGGACATCGAGGGCCCCCCTGGGGCCTCCGACGTCCGCATCGAGGGCCCCCCTGAGGCCTCCGATGCTCTGCGTCGTCGGTTTAAGCTTTCGGGGGGCGCCCCGATTTAAGCTTTCGGGGGTCGCCCAGAAACTGAATCGGAGGGGGAGGGAAAGATGGAGGGGAGTGGGAGGGCAGGAAGAGGCGGACGAGGAGGAGTCTCGGGATGTGGACGGGGGCGGCGGCGACGCTGAAAAACCACCATATTTTGTAGCTCTTGTAGGAGACGGGCGGGGCAGGCCCCGCCACGCCAGGGAACTTCAAGGACACGTTCGGGGCGGCCGCCGGCTTGCGCAGGGCGCGGGCACCCCCCTTGCCCTTGCCCTTGCCGCGGGCGCCCCCCTTGCCCTTGGCCTTGCGCTTGCCCTTGCCCGTCGCTGCGGGGCCCGTGTCCTATAGGGTTGCACGCAGGGGGCTGACGGGGCGGGGCGGGGGGGGGGCGGCCATCGGGCCCAACGGGGGGGGCGCAAAGAAATAGGAACGGGGTGTGATGAACTCGATGGAGGCCCTGCCCTAAGGGGTGGGATGTCAGATGTGACGCGGCCCCAATGGGTAGGATGTCAGATGTGACGCGAGTGCACCTAGCTTGCCCCTCCTCCTCTCGTCCCGCCCCCCCGCCGTCTGGCACATGGAGGCTCTGCCCCGCTTGCCGCGCCACCAGACAAAGGGCGTCGTTTCCGCCCCTGCTGCTGTCGTTGCTGCTTCTCCTCATCATCCTCCCCCTCCTCATCCGCCCCCCCCTTCCCACCCCTGCTCCTGGGGCAATCCTAGAGGGGGGGGGGGGGCGCCGCAGTCACGACGAAACTATGTCTCTGTGAGGGCGACCCTTCTCCTAACTTCCTCATCCCTCTTCCCCCCCATCCCCCTCGCCCCAAATCCCACCAGCCCTCTGGGCTTAGGGGGTTCAGGGAGTTTCCTCTTCCATCTTCCCTTCTTCCCCTTCGGGGAGGGGTTTGCCCCTCCCCCTACCCCCCTCCCCTGGACCTGGACGGGGGGGTTCGCTGTTAGTCGGGGGCGTCCAAGATGGCCCAAGATGGCTCCAAGAGGGCCTCGGAGAGCCCAAGATGACCTCCAAGATGGCTCAAGACAACCCAAGACGCCTCAAGATGGCCCCGAGGATGCTCCAAAAGGCCCCAAGACCGCCCCAAGACGACTCCAATTGGCCACGTAGCCCCCCAAGGAGGCCCCCCAAGAGGCCAACATGGCTCCAAAACCTAAGGACAATCAATGTTTTTTGCTTTCTCACCTTTTCGCTTCCGATGGCCATTCGAGGCATCAAAATGGTTCCAATAGGGCCCAAGAGGGCCCCAAGAGGGGCCCAAGATGGCTCCAAGACGGCCCTAAGAGCGCCCACGAGCGCTCCAAGAGCGTCCCAAGAGGGGTCCAAGAGGCGATGTTAGAGGCTCCCGATGGGGGGACGCTAATTGGGGGACGCCCTCCTTTGATCGATCACCTCCAAGATGGCCCCAAGAGCGCTCCCAGGGCTCCCAAGAGCGCCCCAAGAGGGCCTCAAGAGGCGCCCAGGAGGCCCCAAGAGGTCCCCAAGAGGCCCTCACGAGGCTCCCTAGACCCCCAAGAGGCCTCAAGAGGATCCCCGAGGCATCCAAGACTCCCAGCGCTCCAAGAGGACTCCAAAACAACTTACAAGGGGCATCCTAGGAGGCTCTTGTGCACGGCATTGTTCTTGTTCCTTATCATCTTTCTCATCCTCTTCCTCCTCCTCCTCCACCTTGTCGGCCTACTCCTCCTCCTTCTCCTCCACATTATCAGCCTCATCCTCCTCCTCCTCCGTTCCTCTTCTCCTTCTCCCCCTCCTCCTCCTCCTCCTCATCCTCCCCCTGCTCCTCATCATCCGCCTATTCTCCCTCCTCCCTCCTCCCTCCCCCCAGTTTTCCCACCTGCTGCCCCTCCTCCCTCTCCTCCTCCTCCTCGTCCTCCTCCTCCTCATCCTCCTCCGACCCCTCCTCCATCCTGGCCCTCTTGGGTAAGACGGGTCCCCCAGCCCTTTGCTACTCTGCATGCTCCCTCACTTCCCAGATCACCGCAATTCGCCTGGGCATCGTTTTTGGATGGGCTGGTGGGGCTACCTTTCCAGCGAGCGGGTCGTCTGGTGGTGATACGCGAAGCGTCAAGAATTCACCCCCTTGAGTCCGCCTCCACCCACGCTTCTCCCTCCTGGTGGAGTTCCTTGCCCCTGTCCTCGCCCTCGCCCCCGTCGCTCTCATCAGCATCAGCCGCGGCCGCGGCGCCCCGCTTGCCCCTGCCTTTAGCCAGCACCCTGCCGAACCTTCGCAGGACGAACC